ACAGGATAGTTTTTTTCTGAAACCAAATTGTTTATTGGAGAGTAGGTGTAGTAATGGAAAATTAAGAGAATTGGATGAATTGTCTGGATTTAAAATTAATAAGGGAAAAGAACAAAGATACTGACAAAGAACATTAAGATAGACAAAAATAAATAAATAAATGGCTTTCAGATTGAAAAAAATATTTGGGTATCGTAACTAACATGAAGTATATGAATTCATGTCATAATTATGTTAAAATATGGAATGAAATTAAGAAGGATTTATTAAGATGAAGACAATTATTGTTTGGAAGAATTTTTATGGTAAAAAATTACTCCTCTCTCTCTTACATCCCAGTGAATTAAAAAGGAACCTAACTAAGTCTCTTTTGATACTATTTTTTCTCTAGATCTTAGGGAATGTTTCAGCTCACTCTGCTTATATGGTGGTTCTTGTCTTAAGGTCATCCCCCAGCTCTCTATGCAAGTATGAAAAGCTTTCTATAACAATGTTATCAAAAACACTGGCAACATCTAAAGCAGTGCATTTGATGAAGGTCACTTCTCAGGTTCTCCTGAAATAAGTGACTTCAATTATTCAAAGGTAATACATATGTTGAAACATGTATTTTTTAGGGATTTATAATCCACCTTTCCTCTAAATATAGAGGGCAACTTCCAGCATCTTGAGATTACACTGTTACACTACATTTTGAGATTGCAAATTTTAATGGTGTGAATATCTCTCTCTCTCTCTCTCTCTCTCTCTCTCTCGAGCAGGGGTGGGCAAACTACGGCCCGCGGGCCACATCCGGCCCGTTGGTCTGTCCAATGTGGCCCACCCCTGAAAAAAAATCGCTGCCATTGGTCTGTCCAATCCGGCCCGCCCCTGAAAAAAAATTGCTGGCCGTGGCGTATTGCCCTGTGCCGCGTGGCCCCCAAAGCTGCAAAACAGTGCGGAGCGATCTAGGGGTAGGAAAGAAAAGAAATTTGCAAAGGCCTCGGCTGGGTGTTCGAAATCACCTTCGAATGCGACCTCTCCGAAGGTGAGTCCCTGCCGATCCCCCTTTTTTTTCCGGGGCTTCCAGGCTTAAACTTTGCAAAGGCAAAGCTTGCAGGCTGGAGCGTCTTCCTGCCGAGGAGCAGGAAGGGTTCCACCCAGCGGGCGGGCGGGCTGCTTAAACTTTGCTCGGGCGGCACTTTAAAAGCCTGCTCCCAGCACCCGAGCAACTTCCCAGCAACTTTTGGCTTCCTTTTAACTCGCGGGCGCTCGCGCCTGGCCCCGAGCTGCACGGCAGAGGGGAAGCCCGGCGGGTGGGCGGGCTGCTTGGAGGAGGCGACCCGGCGGTGCTCCGGCAGCAGCAACAGGCAGTTTCGCCTGGGCTCCGCTCAGGTGTCCGGCTGGGGCTGTCAGGAGTTGCTACCGCTGGCACAGCTCCGTGCGGCTCCAGTCCCGCATTGCCTTGGGAAGGAAAAGGCAAAACCAGGAGCCGCTGAGCCTCAGCCTCCGGTGCCGCTGCTCCCGTTGCAAAGCACCGCCGCGGCTCTTCCTTTTTGCCTTTCCCTTCCCGAGGCAACGCGGGACTGGAGCCGCACGGAGCCGCGCTGGCGGTAGCAACTCCTGACTCAGGGGGCCTCCGAGGGGAGGGGAAGGAGGAGAAGAGGGGGGAAGGGGGGGCGATTCCCAAAAAATCTTGTGCTGACCCGGCCCGTCTGTCAAATTTTAAAAGTCAATGCGGCCCCCGAGCCAAAAAGTTTGCCCACCCCTGCTCTAGAGAGAGAGAGAGAGATGCCTTCATTCCAATACCTAAACTTAATTCCCAAAATGCTAAACTGTAGGCTCCAAAATTACTGGCAAGCCCTTGTGATCACATTGTCACAAAACTTGTGGTGTGATCTCCAACTCTTCAAAATGTTGGTCACTTTGTTTTGGAAGTCATGTTGCTGCAGTACAACTTCCTTTCCCTAGTTTATTACTTGATCAAGACTGCAAGGTAAGTTGGACTGAGTACTAATGAG